ACGTGGTTTGGGTAGGAAGGGACCTGAAAGCTCATCCCATTCCAACCCCCTGCCACGGGCAAGGGAACATTTTAAGAAATAACCCTTTAAGGAATTAACCTTTTAAGAAACAGGAACATGGATTTGGGCAGAGGACAAGAAAACAAGGAGTAACCCCGGCGTGAAACGAGGCAGGAAAGTGGGAATTTTCGGTCAGGCTGGAATGGAATGGCAAGGACAAGGGAATGGGACGAGAAGGACAAGGGGGGAGCTGAGAGGAGGTTTAGGGGGGATGTTGGGATTGGATATTGGGAAGGAATTCCTGGCTGGGAGGGTGGGGAGGGGCTGAGATGAAATTCCCAGAGCAGCTGTGGCTGCCCCTGGATCCCTTGGAAGTGTCCAGGGCCAGGTTGGAGAAACCTGGGATAGTGGGAGGTGTCCAAGCCCATGGATTTATGAGCTTTAGGGTCTTTTCCAGCCCTTATTTTTATTCCCAGCACTTAAAGAAAAGCTCCTTTTCCTTGCCCCCCTTACAGAGGCTGAAGCAGCACAAGGATCAGGCCTTTGGGACCCTGGGAGACCTTTATCTTTGACAGGAATAAAAAGTAGGAATTATACAAAGTAGGAATTGCCAAAAATAGGAACAAATTGCCCCAAAACAGGAATTGCCAACCATAGGAATTGTTAATGGGGGTTTGGTGATAAAGAATTCCACAGGGAACTGAATGGATCCATTGGTGTCAGGTGTCTGATGGATCCCCTGATCCAGTTAAATTTAACCCCAAATCATTTGCTGAGCAGGACTTTTTTCCCTCTCAAGCAGCTAAAATCCCGATATGGAGGAGTTATAACTCTGCTGGATTTTTTTTCCCTGGTGGACATTCAGCTCCCAGACTGCAGAACCGCTTCCAAATTGACTGGGTTTCCAGCAGGAGCAGATTCCGTGAGGAAAATCTGACCTGGAGCCTCAGAAAAAGCTGGATGACCCTTTTTTTTTTTTTTTCCCCAGACTCCCAAGAACTGAGAACAAAATTACGATTTTTATGCTTTTCATTTTTTTTAATTGCTTAAGCCAACTTTTTAATAATAATTTTTTTTAATCTAAATAAAACCTGTAGCTTTTTGCCTCATTTTTTTTTTCCCCCCTCCTGCTTTGAGTTGCGTTTTGCCCCTTTTATTCAACCGAGGGGGAATTCTGAGGAATTCCGGGATCTGCTGTTTGGAATCTGGGCTCAGGTGGGTGCTGGAGTGGCCTGAAGGGTTTCATGTTTTCCTTTTCCACGCAGGGATATCCCGATGCCACTGGTGAGCTCCGGGGTGGAGCACGGGAACCTGAGGGAACTCGCCTTGGCCAGGATGAAAGATCTCGGGACACAGGTAAAAAAACAAACAAACAAACAAACAAACAAATCCCTTTTGGATGGAGGAGGAGCTGCCTGATGGCTTTGCACAGAGACAAAAACATCTTAATGACTGAAAAAGCGCTTTGAAAAGCTGCTTTTGTTTGGGTGACTCTGAAGTTCAGCGCTTTCACCCCCCCCCCCCCAACGAGTTTGTGATATTCCTTTTTTTTTGGTTGTTTTTTTGGGGAGGGGAATGAAGCCCTAAATCAAAAAGAGGAGGCAGGGAAGGGTTCCTTTGTAATTTGTGCCCTTGGGAACTCTCCTTCCTTTCTCTTTTTCCCGATGGGAAGGAAGGCTCTCAGTCAGAGACCCCCCCCCAGGGAAGGATCTTGCAGGAGAGGTTTCAGCCCAAACCAAAAAGGAGCCTTGATATTCCCGATTTTCCCGAGGTCAAATAAAAACAGGGGGAGAAGGGGAGGCAGGAGCTGGGGGGTGTGTTTGCAGCCAGGAGGGATGGATTCCCAACCTTTTTTCCCTGGAGTGTCCCCCCCCGCCCTGCTCTGCTCTGCCCCTGCCCCCCCTCCTGTAAAGTTGTACCCCAAGTTCTTCTTCCTTTTAATTTTGGGATGT